GGCCTCCCCACCAGCCAATGGGGCTGGTGACTGGTGTACAGGAGAGCAGGGTTGTCCTTGGAAGTTGTCCCCGCCTGTATGTCACAGATGCAGTGGGGTCATCACTGATGCTCCAGCCTGCACCTCCCACCCCGAGACAGCCAGATCCCTAAAATGAGGGCTATGAAATGGCTTGGAGCCGAAAACACTAGAGCCTGATTGCTCCCATCTTTTATTTTTCCATGTGCTCATGAGGAATTACTAAAACACCCTGTAACAATTGCAAATGGCAGGCAGCTCCCAACTTTGTAACTTAGCTCTGCTGTCGGAGCTTGCCCTGCTCCCTGGGAGGAGGCAGAGGGAAAAAGTGGGTCCCAAAGGTCCAAGCTTGGTCTCCTCGGGAGCAAGCAAGGCAGAGTGGAGTGGCTGGACATCCAGTGAGGATGTCCTGTCTGTGGCATGTAGGAAAACAGTCCCTTGATGGTGCCAGGAGGCTGGGAGGATTTTGTGTGTGGGAAGGTGTTTAAAAATCTGTCGCTGGGGTTAAAAAAACCTCTTGAACAGCTTTTAACTAGCTGCCTACAGTCTGCAGGTGCCAAGAAGTTTCTCGATATTGCTACTTGCTGCATTCCCAAGCTACCTTTCCTCATCTGCATTTCAGATCTGAGCTCTGTTTCCACTTCTGCCTCCCCCTGCCCTCCCCAGGGTGAAGTACGTACTCCTCAGTTACGGACGTATTTTATGCAGCTGTCTTGGTATAGCAATTACTGCCAAGCTAAAGTCAATAACTCGTCATTCCTTTGAGCATAGCTGAGGATCAAGAGTTAGAAAATGAGCGCTTTCTGTCTTACGAGAGAGGCGAAGTGGAGACAGGGTGGCAGGTGGGAATCAGAGGCAGGTATTGGGAACTGGAGCAATCTCGCAGACAGGAATGCTCTGCAAGACGTGAAACGTGTTGAGTCACAAATCTGCTTGCCTGTTAAGTTGACAACATCTTAGTAAATTGGAAACTCGAGAGGAATTTAAGTAACAAACGTAGCCTGGTGAGGGCAGAGGCAAGGATTTGTTCTCTGGGATTTAGAGCGGCTGCTTGATAGTAGGGATCAGCCATAACTCCGAGGTGCTTTGCAGCCCGGGGCTGGCTGTGTTGGGATGCTGCTCACTGCATGTTGTCCCCGAGGTGGCCAGCAGAGTGAACCTCCTCCCTAGTTCACGGAGTGCTTGGGATCCTCTGGAGTAAGAGAGAGTCTGAACCACAGCATGTTTGCGTGTAAATGTTACCTGCCTGCCCTCGAATAGCTGCACTTCTGCAGCAGGAGCTGACGCCCCCAGAAGGCAGACAGCGATTAGCAGCCGTGGCAATTACCCAGAGACCGTGCCTCGGTGAAGGCCACGGCACAGTCCCGTTCACTCTGTCCTTGCTAACAGCCGGTGAGCTTTTGATGTCATGCACGTGACTCTCCCTTGTGTGCAGATCAAGCGCTGTTCCTTGGCATGCTGGCATGGCAGCCTGTATCCACGTGCACGTCACTTCCTCCATTGATTCTTGCTAGAAAGCAATGATCTCTCTAGGTCAGCCCGCGAAGCCGCGGGCATGCGCCATTCCACCGACACGAGGGCAGGCGGTCATGTCCGAGCCTCTGCAGGCTAACTATACCAGATCTGCTCCAACTTCTGTCTTCTCAGTCTCTTGCATTCAGGGTGAACGCACAAGAAAACAAGATGTCGGATAAAGGGAGCAGCATGGACAGCAAGACGGACATAGTGAATGGTAAGGGTGCCGGCAGAGACCTCCTGTGCTTAGTGCTTTCTCAGGGCTGTGTTTGCCTCATAGCTTGGGTGCATGCAAAGCAACCAGGTGCAGGTATTTGTCCAAGAAAGACATCCTCAGGGTGGCTTTGTGTAGCAGATGTATTGAACCTTTCCAGGGAATATCAAAAAAGGCTACATCTGCCAAGTAAAGCACTTTACACAGAGCTGTTCACTAGCACTAATCAAACCAGTGAGTGTTTGAGGGAGCTGGTGGAGGGGAAAAAGGTGCCTGGATCCTCGTCTTATCCCCATGCCAGTATCTGTTTTCACTTTGTTGTTGCGCTTGATCCAAGAAGGGAACCAAATGCTGGTCCCAATACAGCGGTGGTGGATCCCAGTGACTGGATCTTGGCCCATGTCCCCTCTGGCCTGCTCCTGAATGGCTTTTAAAGCCAGCAACAATGCCTGGATTGTACTGGAAAGAGAGGACATGTGGAGAAACTCAAGGTCCGAGCTGACACTTGGTCCTGAGCAGCGGTCAGATGATCAGGGGAATCATTTGTGCTACCCAGAGCAAAAGGGAGCCCCATTCCCACTGCAAAGGGACAAGGCTAGGCCTTGGAGCCCTTATGAGTTGTGTAGCATGCTTGCTCATGTTTAGGAGCAGAGATTTGACAACACCTTTGCGCAGGGGATGGAGCAGTGGGATCAGGGGCTCAGTTTGGGCCTGTTTACAGCAGAGCTCACACCTCTGCCCATTGGTGGTGTGGAAGGGGTTAAAGCTCATCCATAGAGAGAAGGAGAAGCAGTAGGTGGGAGGCTGGGGAGACCTCTGGATTTCTGAGTGTGTGGGATTTCTTAGTGGGGAATTCCCTGTGTCGTCTGTGCCGTGCAGGCAGTTTGTCCAGCAGCCCAGAGGAGATGTCAGCTGAGGAAGGCCGAGAAACCTCCTCTGGTATTGAAGTGGAGGCCTCCGACCTCAGCTTGAGCCTCACAGGAGATGACGTGGGGCCCAACCGCACCAGCACAGAGAGCCGGGACACAGACACAGAGAGCTCGGGGGAAGAGAAGGACTCTGACAGCATGGATGACACGGGCCACTACTCCATAAATGAGGAGAATCGGGCCCATGACCGGTCGCACTCGGAGGAGGAAGAGGAGGAGGACGAAGAGGAGGAGCAGCGGTCCCACCGCCGCGCCCAGCGCAAACGTGCCAACCACGATCAAGACTCCTCCGATGATGAGCAGGCTCTGGAGGACTGGGTGTCCTCGGAGACCACGGCACTGCCCCAGCCCCGCTGGCAGGCAGTCCATGCCCTCCGGGAAAGGGAGCTGGGCTCCAGCTCCCGCTTTGTCTATGAGGCCTGCGGGGCAAGGGTCTTCGTGCAACGCTTCCGCCTCCAGCATGGCCTCGAGGGCCACACGGGCTGCGTCAATACCCTGCACTTTAACCAGCGTGGCACGTGGCTGGCCAGTGGCAGTGATGACCTCAAAGTGGTGGTGTGGGACTGGGTCAGGAGGCAGCCGGTGCTGGAGTTTGAGAGCGGCCATAAGAGCAACGTCTTCCAGGTGAGGAGGGGGCAGGTGTGTGGGGACGGTCCTCAGAGGGTCAGAGATGCTGGAGGACTCAGCTGACTGTGTCATGCCCCGATCTTCTGGGGATAGGGGTAATGCCCCATGCAGTGGGCGCTTACCTGTTCTAAGAGCACATAATTGCCACTGAATGGTGCTATGCAGGGCAGGAAGGATGTTTTTAAAGCTAAGGGCAGGCTGGAAGAGTCCAACAGCCATGCGGTGGTAAATAACCATCAAAACTCCCTTGAGTGCCCTAAAAGCTGCTGTCTCAAGGTCCTCTGGCCAAGGATGGCAGATGAACATAATGTCTCCTTCCCACGCTGCCACCTCTTTGCTGAGAGCTTCCCTGACTCTGAGCTCTGGTCACTGCTGGTCTTCAGACTCTGGTGGGATGACGTGTTTGGGAGAAGCCGTGGGGCAGGAGCCATGTTTGGAGGAGGGTGTGCTGTACCAGGGTGCACAGCGCTGTTTGTGGGCAGTACGGCCCTTCTGCGACCGCCAGAGGGGGCCTGGCCGGCCAGGCTCGGTCCTGCACAGCCTCTGCTGCCAGTGAATGTGTCCCAGGCTGTGCTTGGAGGCACTCTGGCATTGCCAGCATCTCCGTGAGGGTCCTGCCTCTCTTCAGGCTAACCAGAAGGAGCTGGGATAATGGCTCAGTTGACTCATCCTGTGGACCACGGGCTTTGTGATCGCTGTCTGCAGATCTGAGCCCTGCATGTGTCCAGGACTTGTCTCTCTCAGCTGTTGGGATTCAGGAGGGGAGGATGACACATCTGTCCAGGGCACTGTCCTTGATCTGTGTCCTGTTTTACCCACTCATTTCCTTACACACGTACACAAGCATGTGCCTTGGCTTTGAAAGCAGTCCCCCCCGTTTACTCTCTTCTAGGCTAAGTTCCTTCCCAACAGCGGCGACTCCACTCTAGCCATGTGTGCTCGGGACGGCCAGGTCCGAGTAGCCGAGCTCTCCGCCACCCAGTGCTGCAAAAACACCAAGCGCGTGGCACAGCACAAAGGAGCTTCGCACAAGGTGAGCCCAAACCGGCTTCTGGACAGAGGCAGATAGGAGCTGGGGAGCGCGGTAATGCCCAGGGGCTGTCCTAGCTCACATGCTGGACGTTACTGCCAGAAGCACTGAAGGCAGAAGTGCTCTCTCCGTTGTCCCTTGGGCTCCTCTCTATTGGGCAAAGGAGGGGCATCCGTGGAGGGACCAGTTCTTAAATGCTCCTTTGTAATTATTTTGTTGCTGAGGTGGTGTAATCTGTCCTGTGAGAGATGAGGACGTGTTCCTCTTGGTCAGTAACCCTTGGGGACAGGGAGGAAGGTGTTTGCCCTTGGACAAGGCTAACGCATAATGAGCAGGGTGTCTCTGTCCTCCAGAGTAGTGTTATAATCACACTGCTCTTACTGGGTGCTGGATATAGAGAGTTTGGCTCCTCTTAATTGCTAACGGTCTGCTGGGAGAAAGGGGTCTTATCCACCTTGTTAGGTAAAAAGGGAACCAATGCCCGAGTATTTATCTTCCAGCTGGCCCTAGAACCGGATTCTCCATGCACTTTCCTATCAGCAGGTGAAGATGCTGTAGTCTTCACCATTGATCTGAGACAAGACCGACCTGCCTCGTGAGTATTTCTCTATCCGCTTCTGCTGTGAGAATTGGGAAACCTGTGGAGGGGAGACCTGGGGTCCCTGCTCTCCTGTGAGTGGGCTGCACTCAGCTACGTGGGGCTGAGTGTCCCACGCGTGCCTCTGCGGTCACCTTGGCCCATGCTCGTCTGACAGCCGTAAAGCAGGAAAACAGATATTTTTTTGGCTGTTAAATTGCATTATCTTCCATGAGGTGCGTGGGGCAAGGTCAGACCACAGAGCTGCCAGGTGGCTGGTCTAGTCCTTAGCCATCTAGCAGGAGGATATGGATATGAGCCTTTTTAATTAGATAGCGTATTTGAACCCTCCATCCTGCACTGGGATTGGACCCTTTAGGCCCTATTTGAATAGGACATTAAAAATAAAACCTGTGTTGCAGGCCCGTGTCCCTGTACATGTGCGCGTGTACTTAACTGTGGCAGTTGCCGAAGGCTGCCAGTCCAGCACCGATTTCCGCATCCCAAAGGCAGTGCATGCCTCCACCACCTCACCCAGAGGCCTTGACTTTTCCAGATGTAAAATGCTCAGAGACCTGCTCACGTTCTGTGGAGCAAAGTGGCTGATTAATTACAGCACTTAAATCTCTCCATACTGGCAGGAACTTGGAGTCTGTAGTTTGCCTGGCTCTCGTTGCATGAACACCATTGTAGTTAATTGAAAAACAATAATTAGCGAGCAGCCGGGTTTTGTGTGCTGCATCTTAACCCGTATCTCAGAGAGATCTGTCATTTCTGACAAGCTTCCAAAATAAATCCACGTCGGGTATTAAAACAGACGTCTGGTTTTGGTATCATTGTACTTTTCCAGTACAGCGGAATATTGTTTTGAAGATGATCCCACTTAAAACTGAGGGCTTCAGAGCTTCAGTCTCCTGGTGGTTTGGTTTTATTTGTATGTGCAAATGCTTTGGTCTGCAACCTTAAAACCATCTGTTTCATAACCAGGACAAAAACTGCTGGGGCGTTTCAAAACAATAGTGTTTAATCTTCATCCTCCCCCTGCTCCTTTATTTGCTGGGTCCATTTGGAAAGGAATTTGTCGGTCAGTAAGTTGGAGTGGCTCTGTTGCTCCTCTTCCCTCATCTTCCTGGAGATCCGCACTGCTGTTTGGGTTTGATGCTCACAGGGAATTGTCACCATACGAATGTGAAACCACTCTGGAGGCAGGGCTTGCAGGCAGACTGTAGGCAGCTCCCATCTTTCATTAAGCAGAATGGTATAATTAGAATAAAGACAAGCTTTTGAGCTTGCTGCTCCTTCTTGAGGATGCTGCCTCAGTTTGTATTCATGTCTACAAAGCCTAAATATTGAGCCTAGATTCTTGGGGGAGGGGAGATAGTGTGTGCCAGATTTCGTTAAATCTGGGCCTTATTATGGGGAGATGGATGGGGAAAAATAAGAGCAGGGTGTTTCTGCTTCAGAGCTGATCTGGTTCTGCCCTTGCTGCTAACTGTCCAGCTCCATCAGACTTGGGTTTGAGCAGTGAAACTCTTCAGACATTTTGGATGAAAACACCAGAGAATGATTTCACTCTGCGTTATTTGATTCGTAGACGGAGCATGTGCTTGCTTCAATTTGGAAGCAGATTTTTTTTTTTCTTTTTTTTCTTGGGAATGAGTAAGAGACTCGCAGAGCTCCTGCATTTCCCATCTGGACCCTGTTTTGAATTCGAGGTGGTTTTTTTTGTTGTTGTTGTTATTATTCCTCATCTCTTAAAGGAAACTGGTTGTGACAAAGGAAAAAGAGAAGAAAGTGGGTCTGTATACCATCTACGTGAACCCAGCCAACACCTACCAGTTTGCTGTGGGAGGCAGAGATCAGTTTGTGAGGTGAGTCTGTGTTGGGGGCCTGGACTGAGCCCTCAAAATGGACTTGAACATCCCCTCAGGGGCTCAGTCAGTGCCCCAGAGAGCTCTGAAACCTCCCATGTCCCCTCCCTCCCCCCCCCAGAAACACCTGTGGCTTCAATCAATAATACCTGAGAAGACCGTTCTCCCATAAGTAGCATTAAGACAAGTGAGATTAACAGAGAAGGATTTTGATACTTTGTGCTTTAGCCTTGTGATCCACTATCCAGACTGCCTTGAGGCTGGGAGATCCTTCCTTCAGGAACTAGCTATTCTCTTAATGAGCTTCTGAGAAATCTTCTCTTGGTCCCCAACCAGCAGGTAGTGCCTGATGTGCATCAGAGATGAGATTAAGCTCAGGCAGGATCTTAGCTTCAGAGGACTGAGCTCCTTACATGGCAAGTGCAAGCCCACCTCCTTTCCCTCTCCATATGAGTTAAAATCTTTCTGAACTTGCTTAATCAAAAGCTCCTCCAAAACTGTGTCGTCAAGCCCTTGTAGCGCTGATTCCTCCCATGTCCGTGGAGCTGTGGGTCTGCGTATGCGACCTGTTGTCTGTCATGCAGACCTACGCTGCCGGTCTCTCCTCTTCTGCCTCCAGTGCTAGCCTCCTCGCTAATCCCTGCAGCTAGAGATTATTCCCTCTGCAGAGTTCTAGGCACAGTGAATGAAGCTCCTTCATCCCATGTGGCATCTACCTCTCATCACATGTTAGCTTAAAACTGTGTTTTTCTTTCCTTCCTGCCTTTAGCTTCTACGGTCTCTCCCCTCTGTGGCCTTCAAAATGTTCAGGGTAGTAACCTCCTGTGTTGGACCTGGCTGTCTCCATGTGACTGGCTCCTGGCTCCTTACATCAGTGCAGATGCCCCCTAAAGCTGATGGGTTTGAAGGTGCAGCTCATCTGGCGTCTATTTTAGGCAGAGATGAATCGTGCAATAGGTTCACACATCCGCAGTGAGCATCTCCAACACAGGCACCTGCAATTAACTGAGCTGATTTGCCCACCCTTGGATCCTGCTCAGAGTAACTAGCTCAGTGTGTGATCCTGAGCTTTCGCTCACCAGTGCTCTCAAGCCTGGGCTGACTTGCCCTTGGTCAGGAGACTTTCAGGAAGGGGTGCTGAGCTCTGTACCTAGGTGTGCTGGCAGCCAGAATCAAGGGGTTTTTGACTAGAGCCAGTGGACTCGGATGCTTTTCAGCTTCCTGAGACTGAGCAGAGCCGAGGCTGTTGTTTGGCTCCCTGAGGATGCGTGGGGGCTGCTCTTTGGAGAGCTCAGGAACCCTGCAGCCCCACTGCTGATATTCCTTGAGCAGCGTCAGCTCCCTGGAGCGTTAGCCACACGGGTGTCTGGCATACAGGCAGCATCTCCTGGAGTGCTGGGTGTGGAAACATGTAACACATGGGCTCTGCAGAGACTGCTCACAAATAGCAGCGTTGGCACTTTGCTAGGTCAGTAGCTTTCAGAGAGGTCCAGGATCATTTCTCCCAACGCAGTCTCCCCTCGTTCCTGTTCGCTGCTGCTGCTGCTGTCTCTCTATCTGCCTGTTGCCTTTCTCTGATCCATTTTCCTCCTCTCCCACTTCCACTCTGGCTGGCTTCCTGCTCTCTGCTCTGCAATTTGGGCAGAGCCGGGCCTGCTCTGGGCACTGGGCAGCTCCTGATGGACTTGCCACATCAGTGAGGCTCAGGGAGGTTAACTGTGCTCTTGGACCCTGAGGAGCCCAAGCCCAGCAAAGGGACAAGCGAGATGGCAGTCAACATCCCCCTTTGAGAGCAGCCTCTGGTCTGATGCGGAGCCCCGAATGCAGGTCGTGGCCCGTACACAGGCCGACTTCAACATTGTCACAAGCCACCGAACAATAGTCCCAGCATAATAGGAGGTGACAGTAAGCTGCTTTGGCTGAGATTTCTGTTAGTCCAGGCCACTTGCAACTCTGCCGATCCCTTGGCGAGGGCTGGAGCCTCCAGCCAGTGTCACAGGCAGGGCCTGGATTTCTGGGTTGGGTGTATTGTGGGGTCTCTGTCTCTGTGGTCTGAGAGAGCTGCTGTTGCCCCTCTCCCTGCCTCTCTCGCCTGGAGAGGTTGGGGAACACTTGCCTCCAGTGCATCTGAGCTGTGTAAAAGCATTGCTTGTGTCTTAAGTGAACGTCAAACTCCTGCCATCCTTCCCCCAGGATTTATGACCAGCGAAAAATAGATGAGAATGAAAACAACGGTGTGCTAAAGAAGTTCTGCCCTCACCATTTGGTAAGTAGCTCGCTCTCACGGTGTATCAGAGCAGACAGGCTGGGTTTGGGGTGGGGGGGGAGGGGGTCCTCCTCGTAGGCAGCCTGAAGGGGCTGCATAGCTGTGTAGCTGTGGTGTGGGATAGCTCGTAGGTGGGTGGCTCAGCAGAGGACATCCAGCGGTGGACGTCAGCCTCCTGTTTGCCCGCCTGGGTGGGCGGACAGCAGCCCTGCCTCAACAGTGTGGCTTGTGTGCCGATTTCCTACGTGTTGGCAACGAGCAAGAGCTGAGCCTGGCTCAGGGTGGGCAGACCCCGGGGGGAGACACGCAGCTGCTGGGGAGGAACTGCTTCTGCTGCAGGGTGACTGACACACAAAAGGGGTCTCCCGCCAGCAGCGATGCTGCCCGTGCCAGGCCTCGCCAGTGAAGCTGGCCTTCGCCCAGTTCCCCTAGTTGGACTTGCGCGGGCAGCGCTTCTCATTCCTAGCAAAGCAAGAGAGCCTAAAATGGGGCCTCGGCAAACCTTACTGCACAGATCTGCAAAGATTTCCCTTGGGAGCCTTGTTTAGGAGAGGCCGAGGAATGCTTGCTGGCCAAGTCTCTCACAGGCTTCCTGCCTGGAAAACATGTAAAGAAGCTGAACAAACTGCCTAGCCTTTTTTTCTTTTTCTTTTTCTGTTTTCTTTTTTTTTCCTTTTTTTTCTTTTTTTTTTTTTTTCTTTTTTGACCCTGATCTTCCAGCATCTATAAAGTGCCATCTTGGCTTAGGAAGGCACATTGCTTTTATGGCCTGGCTTTAAAGTCATTGCAAAACAGTAACTCACACCCTGAGCTCTCCCAAGTAGCACATGGTCAGCGTAGGTGTATTGGTACGCTGTGGGTCAAGGCCTTTGAGGGAGGAGGAGATGGGATCAGAGCTGTCTGTGGTTTCCCTAGGTAAACAGCGAGTCCAAAGCTAACATCACCTGTCTCGTGTACAGCCACGATGGGTCAGGTGAGTAACCCCCTCACCCCGCTGCTGTCAGGCTGGGGGACATACCCTGACGTTACAGCGTCTTGAGCCTGCCGGAAATCTGCAAAGGAAATTCCAGCCCGGGGGGTGGAGAGGCCACCGCACACACGAGGAATGTGCAGCAACCGCTATGCGACTGAGCATGGGCTGCAGCTCCGATCTGGGCGGCTGGTGGATGAGTCGAGGATCATATGTAGCCTGGGCTGAGTCACTGTGAAACGGAGCCGTCCTGGCCTGGGAAAACACTAGGGATCTAACTGTGCTCAAGGTGCTTTCTGCTGGCCATGGGCATCCAAGCACTTGAGGCTCTGGCTGCCTGTGTTGTAGCACACCAAGCCTGGCCCTAGTGGAAAGATCATCTCCACATACTTGGTATTAATGCCCCTCTGCCTGTCTCTTTTGTCTTATGCCAGAGCTCTTGGCCAGCTACAACGATGAAGACATTTATCTCTTCAACTCCTCTCACAGTGACGGAGCGGAGTATATCAAGAGATACAAGGGACATCGCAATAATGCCACTGGTAAGGACCAGCTGGGAACGAGCATCACGTGCAGTCCTTTTGGCAGGCTGTATCCTCCCTCTTTGGGGAGCAGAGCAGAAGCTGGGCCTGGAGGCTGTCCCCAGGTCACCGTTAAACCATCCCACCTCTATGTCACCTTTCCTGGTGGCAGGAGAGGCTGAACTTGCTGCCTTGGTGGGGCTGCAGAGGGCAGCTTCTCCCTCTTTTTGCCCTTGATGAGGCTTTGGGGCAGGCTGGATTTGGGGGGCTGTCCCCAGAGCAACCCGGAAGAATAATTGCCTGCCTTTAGCTTATTTCTGCAGCATCAACTGTTTCGTCGTCCTCTCAAAGACTCTTAACACAAACTCTTGGGCTTGCAGAGAATGAGCTATTATATGTCTGGGGACGGAAGAGATCCACTCTGGTAACCTTGGAAACTCGCTTGCTGCCAGGCAGGAAGCAAATTCATGGCAGGGAGCACTGCCCGGCTCCTGATGGCCTCAGGCTGGTTGTTTCTCTCCTTTCAGTGAAAGGCGTCAATTTTTATGGCCCGAAAAGTGAGTTTGTGGTGAGCGGCAGTGACTGTGGCCACATCTTCCTGTGGGAGAAATCGTCCTGCCAGATCGTGCAGTTCATGGAGGGCGACAAGGGAGGAGTGGTGAGTTTCTGCTGCCACGGCTGCACCAGATTCCGCTGCTGAGCAGCTCCTGGTGCAACACACTCATAGCAATGGTTGCGTTAACTTGCTTTGCTTCGTTATCTGGACTGCGTTTGGCACTGAGCTGGGGGTTTATTTTCTGATCTTAGCTGAAGCCATGCACCTCTGCCAATTTGCCGTGTCCATTTGAGTTTCTAACGAAAGCCAAGCATGGTTCTCTTGAGGTTTTGCTCCTGTTTGGGGTGCTCAGCACAAAACCTGGTTCCTGCTCCCTCTCCATGAGAGATGACAAAGACCATGCCTCGGCCTGGGGATTTGCAGCTGATGAGGACTGAGGCAGGCTGGCAAGAGCGGTGGGGCCTAAACAGCTTCTGAAATAAGAAATCTCTGTCGAAATCTCTGGGCAGGGTAAGGTGAAGGCTGTGGGCCAAAGTCCTCCTCCTCCTTTATCTAGAAACGAGATATGAAAGATTGCCTCTGTTCAAAGCGAGCCCCCACCCTGCTCAGGCTCTGTGTCTTTGTGGATGGGTGGCTGTTAGGCCTCCTTCCAGGCCAGCCGTGACTCCTGCCCTGTCTCGTACCCTCTCGGGTTGTGTAAGGAGAACCTGTGCCTGACTGTGCTGTTCCCTGTGCTTCCGATGGTGCTTTGTAGCCTGACAGTAGATTTAGTGTCTCTCTCCTCGCTTTGTCTGGGGCGACAGGCTGTGACTTGCCTTGCGTCAGCAGGGAGTGGGATTCAAACCAATGCACTCAGGGTCCGGTGCTGCATCCTCCCGGCTGGGTGGGTGAAGTCAGATGTCGGCTCTGGCCTCCTGCCTGAGCTGCCTTGAAGGAGAAGTCCCCTGGTTACAGCCTCACTGTTGGCAAGCCAAAGGCAGCAGTGCAGTGCTTGGAGGAAATTGGTTCGGCTCAGCTGGCCAGCTGATCCCAAATCACATTGGTGGGGAAAAGCTAGGGTTAACGGCCTGCTGGGTGCTTGTCACTGAAGGACAGGTACAGAGGTATGGGGACATCTGTGCTGCTGTGTGTCCAGGATGGAGCAGCCCCAGCCATACCCTTCCGCTTGCTCACTTGTTCGTATGTCTTAGTAGGGAAGCACGTGGGTCTGCTAGCGTCCAGGAGGGCTGGTCTGTGGGAATGGGCTCATCTCAAGGGTTAACTAAAGCTGTATCTAGGAAGAGCTGAGCGGCGGAGGAAGCACGTGAGCAGAAATGGACTTTGCAGAGTTGTTCCAGCCCTGCTCTTCCCCCAGAAAGGCCCTGGAGCCTCCCGCCTGGACTCTGGGAGCTGTGTGCTCCTGGGCTGGGTTCGGGCACTGCTCCCCGGTGGGTTTGCAGCTGCATTGTCGCCGCGTCACAGCCAGGAAATGGCCACAGCTGCTCTGGGGTCAGCCCTGCACTCGGTTTCCCAGGCTCTGGGCCGATAGCAGCCAGTCAGGACCTGACTGCTACCTCTGCTCTGGCTTGTGCTGGCCAGGGGATGCTCCATGCTGAGTTTCAGCTCCCCTTTACGGGCCTTGTGGCTGCCCGGGGCTCAGAGACGGAGCAGGCATGGAGACACGTGGTTCCACATGCTGGCCTGGGGTCCCTCTCCCACCAGGAGCATGGGTGTTTGGAGATTTCTGTCCTTGCTGCTGTGCTCTATCCCATGCTGGCAGATGGCATTTCTCCTCTGGGTCTCATAACGCTTGTTTTGTTGGTGGCCAGACTGCTGGAGGCTTGTCAGGGCATGCACGGGAGAGGGACAGCGAACCTGTAAACCTCCACCTTGGCACCATGGCTGAGACTGCAGGTGATCTGCTGCGCCGGGTGCCCTGTGGTTTGCAGTGATGTTACTGCCCAGCATCCTCGGTGCCCTGGGCCCTCGGATGGAGCTTTGCCATGGCACGAGACCTGCACAGAAACTGTGCAGACCCTGTAACACTTTGCAGAGCCAGTGCTGTGGCTCGATTACCCATCCCCGATGGATGCAGGTGCTGGAAGGGGAAGGGACACACTGTTGGCACTGCACAGGGGAGAGCCTGGGGGCTACCCGCCCTTCGGGCGAGCCTGCTGCAGGTTGGCTCCCGAGGCCCTGAGCAGGCGGAGAGGGCGAAGGCACCGTGGCTGGCCCTGTGCCCGGGCTGTGGGTGTCAGGTTTGCAGCCGGCTGGCTTCTTCCCTTTTTGGGTAGGCGTAATGAGGAACGGGAAAGGCAGGTGTCTGGCTGCTCTTGCTTTCTGCTCTTGTCATAGGGGGGAGAGGGAGCTGGGAAGAGCAACAGAGCCCCGCTTCCCTGCTCAGTTGTACACCACGCTCAGTCCAGCCCTCTGTGTCCCTGCCCTGACGCTCACTATGTGTAACAAAGCTGTGAAAATCTTGGGGCAGGTGAGCACGGGGTACCCAGGGGCTCCCTACGAGCAGGTCTCTCCCCTCTTCCCTACCCAGTGAGGGGACAGAGCCTGATCTCCGATCTGAACCTTACAGAGATGTCGAGGGGCAAGTCCTCACATTTTTGCCTGGCAGAGCATCTCTTGCGGAGGCTGCTGCCATGTAGGGCTGGTCCTGAGCAGGAGGGTTGCTGTGGTTGGGTCCAAGTGCAGCTGGGAGGGTAGTTGCAATGGCTCTGTCATATCCTGGCTGTCTGTACGGGGCTTCTCAACTCCCAGCAGCCTTCCCGATGGCACGAAGCGAGGCTGCAGCAGCCATCGCTTGCCTCGCCTCTGCCTCTGCTTGGCTCTTGCTGCCCGAAGCTTTTCAAACATGCCGGGGGTGCTGCCGCTGCCTCGCGGGAGGCCCAGCCAAGCCGATCCCGTGATCTCCCTTTCCTGTGAGCTGCGCCACCACTTCTCTGCCTGTTCGCAGGCCCCACAGTCGCCTTTTGTCTGCGTTGTGGTGGCCCTGTGCCAGCGCCTGGCGGCCTCTGGCACTGCCACCCCCAGCAAACGGCTGAGATCCCGCACCCCGGGGGGGCTGATGTGGGGCTGCGGGTTGGGGTGCCAGGGCAGGATGAGGCTTGGGACATCCCTGAAAGCCTAAAGCAGGGCTTTAGCACTTGCTGCATGGGGTGTGAATCCCTCCCTGTTAACGCTGGGTGAATCCACTTTCCTGTTAAATATTTGCTGCTGGGGTTTAGGTTTCCTTTTCTTTGTTGCTGCTTTAGACTCTCTGGACGTGCCGGGCTTTCAGCAAACGCCTGCCAGTCCGGACTCAGGCGCCCCATGAATTATTCAGGGCTCACCAAACTGTTTGCATTTCATTTTGCTTGCGGGGGGTAGCGTTTCCCAGCGAGGCCTCTGCTGCTGCCCTAATTCCTGAGATCTAGAGCGTGGAGACGCCATCGTGGCTGGCGCCGGCCCGGGGGAGAAGACAGGCGCCCTCCCTGTCTGGGACTGGTGACGCGGGGTGGGTGCCTGTGGGGAAGCTCCCGATTTTTCCCCGCACGGAGCTGGTGCCCCCCGTGCTGCTGCCCACATCACGGAGCCGTGTCTGCCCTCCTTGCCAGGTCTGTGACTCCTGTCCCTTGTGTCACTGTGCAAGTGGGTGGCAGTCCGCGAAAGCACCCCAGCATTGCTCCATCTCCGCATCTCTCCTTGCACTGAAGTATTAATACCCCTGGGGCGGCGTCTAAAAGAGTCACTTCTGCTCCCCTGACCCGAGCTTAGGGCTGTGCCGTCTCCCTCTTCCGCAAGGAGAGCCTCAGCTTTGCCAGGGGTTCTTGTGGCTGCGTTGCACGTGCCACATCTTGGTACCCCTGAGCCCCGTGTTGGGAGATGCCTGAGGTTCCTGCAGGAGCTGGCGTATGGTGCCCAGGCCTCCTTCTCAGTCCTGCTAGAGCCAGCTCCTGCTTGACAGCGCTGTCCTGCTGCAGGTGAACTGCCTCGAGCCGCATCCTCACCTCCCCGTCCTGGCCACCAGCGGCCTTGACCACGATGTCAAGATCTGGGCGCCCACGGCAGAGAACCCCACCGAGCTGGCTGGCCTAAAGGAGGTGAGACCCAAGCACTCGAGTCTCCCGTCTCCCCAGACGGCTGCAGGGATCCAGGGCGTTCCCTCGGCTCAGGGAGCTGCCCTCTCCCAAAGCCACCTACTCTCCGTGCTCCAGGGGCTGTTTGTGGGCTGAATCCCCCTGACGCCACCATTACGAGGTGTCCCAGTTTGGGCTGGGAGCATTTTCAGCTCTGTGGCTTCAACTTCTACACAGCAGAGCCTCGCCACCCTGGTGCGTCCGTTGCGCGCGTGCCGTCCCCCGTGCAGGCACCGGGTGCTCTCTGACATCTGGCCCCTTGTGTCACAGGTGATCAAGAAGAACAAGCTGGAGCGGGATGAGGACAGTCTCCACCACACGGACATGTTTGACAGCCACATGCTCTGGTTCCTCATGCACCACCTCCGACAGAGGCGCCATCACCGGGTAGGTGTGGGGCCGTGGGCACTGCCCCTGGGGCTGGCCCCCTTCCTCCCCAAGCCGCTTTGCAAGGACCCCTCGGCCCCCCTTGCTGCTTTGTCCCAGTCCCCCTCGTCACCTTCGGTCCCCCACTGCACACTGTCCTGGATCAGCGCACCAGTGCTGGCACAGAGAGCACCAGCTTGGGCTCCATCCCGGCTTGGCTGTCGTGATGGTCCCGTCGCCCTTTGACGCCCCTGCCCCGTCCCTGCCCTCCCCTGTCCAGGGGTGCTGAGTGTGTGCCGGGTGCTCCCCGTCCCCTGCCTGGTCTGCATCTCCCGTCCCCTTCATCCCCCTTCCTCTCCCCTGGGCAGCGTCGAAGAGAGCCCGGGGCGCCGGACGGCGACTCGGACGAGTCTCCCAGCTCCTCCGACACCTCCGACGACGAGGA